AGACGTGCTCCGGCTACGCGTCGTCTTCGTCGAGCGGCGATGAGTGGGGTCGGCCTCCGCTTGCGTCGACCTCCGGGGCATCGACCTTGGTGGCGTCAGCGTCCATAGCGCGGGCTTGCTGAAGACGAGCTCCGGCGACGCGCCGTCTTGGTCGAGCGGTGATGAGTGAGGGCGGCCTCCGTGGTGTCGACCTCCGGGGCATCGACCTTGGTGGCGTCAGCGACCATAGCGCAGGCTTGGTGAAGACGAGCTCCTGGAGACGCATCGCCTTCGTCGACCTCATCTTCTAGTCCGGTGGCTCCATCTCCGGCGGTGGTCCAATCGTGCGAACTTCGCGTTCGGCAACGCTTCCGGCTTGTGTGCGTGCATGCTATGTGCGTGGAAGAAAGAGAGAAGTGAGATTAGTTAGACAATCCTTTTACTCTCCGAACACGAGTTTGGCCCCCATTGTGGTTTGGCTCCTCCTCCTCGCGTTGCTCCCGGGATGCAGCCGCCTGAAACTCTGCCAGAGGTGATCCACTCGGCCTCCGGCCGCTGCTTGAGGACTCTACGTACGTGCTTCCCTTGGCCTGGCCGTGAGTCCCGATCGATGGGTGCGTGGGCTGTGGATGGATGGATTGCTGCGTGATTTGATGGATTGATGTGTGCGTGAGATGACCAATGGATGCGTGCGTGCGTGCCTTGAGAATGGGTGTGTGCTTGAGTCGCCTCTCCCGTTTCTGAGGAACCTGCTAAGGAAATGAAAAGAAGAGGGTTGTTGTATGTGTATACATCTCGAGCCCAGGATGCTCCTCGTGTACGACGCGCCCTGCAGCATATCGCCGCCACGGGCGAGTCTCCCGCGTGTGCTTGCGCCTCTCTCTCAGCTGGGTGCCCCTTGGCGCACGCGCGCCCGCATGGGCGCGCCCTCCGATCTCCTCGACGTTGCCACCAGGGGCGCGTCTCCGCCTTGTCTTCTCTCCTGATGTTTGTCTGTGCTGGACTCCTCCTTCTTTCGGTTGTTCTTCTTGTGTAGAACCTGATGGATGGAAGACATAGTAACAAATAGAATTAATCAGCGGGGCTTGGTCTGCTCCCGTTTCTTCATCTCCTCGGACGCCTACATGCTCGCCGTGGGCAGACCGCCACCGTCGCCTCCTGGGGCGTTCCTTTTGGATCCCTCCTGGTGCCTCCTGGTGCGAGGCCTCCCTGCCCAAGTGGTGCTCGTGGACCCTTGTACGCGTATGTGGTTCCTCGCCTGATACACAAGGGAGATAGATGAATGTATTTATTGTTAGTTAACCTGAGAG